AACTTGTAGATAAGTTTAATCAAGTTGAAAGAGATTACAGTGGCTAAAAACTACTTGCTCGAGGTTGCTAAATTTACAGAATAAACGGTAAATACGACCTGTGCTGATTCCTTACTTTACGAATTTTCCAATGGTGTTCTTTGTCTCCAATCTCAACCTGATCCCACAGAGGGCGGTGATCTCCCTTCTCATTCCATATGTGGTCAGCCACGCCAGATTTTTCCACTTCCCCTCGTGTTACAGCTTTCTGGTGTTCTTGAAGCCTTAACCTTAAGGGAACGGCCTGTCTCTCCTTTATATTCCTTTCCGCAGCTGCACGGGATAGCGTACACACAGTCTTTAGTCATGTTCTCATATTGCAATTTCTGTTATCGCTTTTCTCTGGCATATATACATATTTTTCCTCACAGTTAGGAAAATCGTATATTTATTATCAATATATAATTTATTTATACTATATGTTATTCTACATCGAGTATAATTTTCAATTATATACATAGTCAAACAGAACAAGAAAATTAAATTAATTATCTACTATAAAATATTTAAAACAGTTAACCTTATCATCAACAATAACAACACACTTGAAAGATCTAAATTACAAATAACGAATATTATTTATAAATTCACAGGAAATGCGTTCATGATCAAACTCATGAATTATTATATTGGAAATATTACTACATACATATCGCGAAGACTCTCGTTACATCTCTCTGACCATAAATTAATTAGGATTCATATAAACACACGCGGAAACCTACTAAACTCCATCCACAATATACTTGTATAAAATGCAAGTATAATAGTCTAAAAAAATTAAAAGTAATGGAAGTACTAATGATAAAAAAGAAGAAGCCCACACTCAATGACATCAAATATGAACACGGCCACAATGTAATGACTGTGTTTGGAAAATGAAAAAAACGTCCGTATATCTCTAGATGCATGCATGAAAAATCTACATATTCAGTATAAGTAAAAATTAAAAAAACATCTTTGATAGCGTAATAGTCAAAAACGCTCAGATATCCAGAACATTTGGACAATTTTACATAACTTCTGTCTAGAAAAGAAAACGCTTTTAATAACACAAGAAAAATTAACCTTGTCAGTCGCCTTTAATGAAATGTGTTCCTCAGTAATTTTATAACTTTAAACTTAATATAGATTAAATTTAAATTTTAAAATGGGTAATTTTTAATTTCAAATTTTATCGTATAATTTAATATTTATTAGTTAGAATAAATTCTATTTTAGTCTAACCCTAACATTAAAACATTAAATAATTATCATAACCTTAGTTCGTTGTCAATTTTTTTGAATTCTCATATACTATTTTGATTGGTTATTCCAGCTTATGTAAAAGCGTTTCCCTTTAACGAGGGGTGTTTGATTGATTTGAACCTTTTAAATCCCTTTATTCTAAATTCAACGCCATCACTTGATAAGACACCAGAGGTGTTGAAATAAAATGGCTATTTTTGTAGTGATTTTATAACATATTTATGTTATAATTTTCGAATAAATAATTATATTTGCTCTACTCTGTATTGAGCACTCTTTTGAGAAAAGTAATTGTTGGTTATTGGAATTTATTCCGTATACACCAATCCTATACTTGGGTATATATATATATATATATATATATATATATATATATATATATATATATATATATATATATATATATATATATATAATGGTTATGAATATTTTATTATGGAAATTAAAATTTGATTCACGAGACGATTTTTCCCTAGTTACTGTCACTTTGATCTTAACATCTTCAAATGTAGGTTCAACTGCAATTTGACATTCATATACCCTTAAAATGAATTTCTTTCTTACCCTCGTTGGTCCCTTACAAGAACCTTTACATTGGGTGGCTCTTAAGCCTTTGTATTTGGTTGAACAATACTATAAAAATCATTCGTATCAAAAGATTATTTACCATTCGATAGTGCAATTCGTTTAGATCACCTTATCGTTTATATCCCACGATAAAAAAAAAAGTCGGTTGAAAAAGAATCCATTTGACCTACTGACAACCAAAACTAGTGAATTTATTTTAAACAACTTCAAACTTATCTACTCCAACCTTCAGTGGCTAAATGAATTCAAAGTCCAGCTTATCGCCTGTCGTTCATGATAGTAAATTTATCTCCTGTAACCTTTGATGGGGAAGATACTTCAGATAAATCCAGTTTATCTAGTTGTATACTATACTTTTTAATTTGTTTTATACAAAATTCAGCTTCTCTACACCCAATCTACAACAAATCTAGCTTATTTACACTACTAAACACGATGTTCATGTAGAATGTATGGTACGCTGTTTCATGATATTTGCCCAAGGTAATGGTTAACAGACAATTCAGATGCAAGTCTATTTTATTTAAATCTCAGATAATGATATGAATATTTTCCTAAATATTATATTATATATATATATATATATATATATATATATATATATATATATAAAAAGATAATCCTAAGGATCTAGGCATTACCCTGAAGATCCGTTTAGGGAAAGCTAGGTAGGTTTGCCTGGCCCCCTTAGGATTATCTTAGGTTTTGGTCTACTTGGTATATTCAGTACTTTACGTAGTTGTCTTTTTTACTCGTTTTGGGGTTTTTTCTTTAGATTTGGAGCTTAAACACTAAACAATTGTTTTCACCTTGTTTTAATGTTCTTATTTCTTTTTTTTTTTATTCCCCATTTTTCCTCGCGTACCGATTTATAGAGCTATCCGAGGATTTTCCAAACGAGTACAACCCTTCATATATATATATATATATATATATATATATATATATATATATATATATATATATATATATATATATATACGTGTGTGTGTGTGTGTGTGTGTGTGTGTGTGAAAAATATATGGAAAACCGAATATGCAAGTATGCTGTTTTAATGGTGTTTCAATGTCGACGTCAGACGTTTCGGTCTAGTGGATCTTCTTCAGGACATATTTATTAAAACATAATTAACATTAGACGATATTCAAGTCAACATAAAAAGACGATAGACATAAAATTAATCAAAACAGAATAACTGAAATTTTTAAGATCAGCGTTACGTTTCGCAATATGATTTTTGTTTTTCCATATATTTTTCTTCATACTGTCGGATCTATATCCACATATTTGCTTATATATATATATATATATATATATATATATATATATATATATATATATACAGAGAGAGAGAGAGAGAGAATTGCACAAAAAAAAAATCAAAATTATTTCATGATAGATCTATTTCAACACACGAAAACTACGTCAGTCTTATTCAACCCCGGTATATAAGATTGACGTAGTTTTCGTCGTTTGAATTAGATCTACCCCCACCCCATATGAGCTAATTTTGTTGTGTAATACTATATATTGGATCTGTTATAATAAATACATTGAGCTCTTTTTTGTGGATCCATTTATCAACGGGTTTAGTACCTGTACTATATATATATATATATATATAGATAGATAGATAGATAGATAGATAGATAGAGAGAGAGGGAGAGGGAGAGGGAGGGAGGGAGTAATGTCGAGCTCTATGTCAAAAAGACAGAGCAAAATTATTATTAATTAAAGAATATCAAACACTTAAAATCCCATGGGTAATAATTTTTATTTCATGAGGGTTCTAAAAAATCAGCTCTCTATCTTCAAGACCTAGAAACAAAATCATAAATGAAATGGAAAAAATTACTCCGGATTAAAATCAAGGGATATTGCTATCTTTTTTAGAATGGGAAAAGACAGAGAGTGTTGACCTATTTTGATATACTGACCTCAGATTTAACATTAGTGTGTCATTTGAGGAAGTTGGAAGGGCATAGTGTAGTTAGTTCAGTGTGAACTGGAAACAATCTCATATATATATATATATATATATATATATAGGGTAACTATACTCGTTTCGAAAAAACCTTCGAATTTTTGAATTGCCAATAATCAAATCAATCTCGAGGGAAAAATGGTTTTAAATAAAGAAAGAGCTAGAAACATGAAAGTCTGTCGAAAAAAATCGCACAGATACAGGTTTGAAGCCCAAAGAAAAAAAAACCCAATACGAGTAAACAACTAACAAAAGAGCGCAATACAACTGTAGAGCAAACTAAATAAACCTTAGTGAGCCAGACAAATCTTGTCTGGCTCATATATATATATATATATATATATATATATATATATATATATATAAATATATAAGCATTTATCGTTTCACCTCAAGCAAGGCGATAAACATTCTAAGAAGATGTTACTGAGAATGAACGAACCTGAGAAAAATTTAGTAAGGAGAAAAGAACAATAAATGAAAAGGATTCAAAAATCCAGAAGATGGCTAATGACATTATATTTATATTTTTATATCACAGTAAGAAACAGGATTTCCACAATTGAGAAGTGCGAGAGAGGAAACTATTAGAATAGAACTTACGGTTACATTTAGCAATTTCAGGAATAAACTGATGCCAACTATCTGCCCCTCGAGTCAGTCAGTTATGTGCCATACGTGACACACACTTAAGCGATAATTTATCTTTCGATACATGACTGACGAAGCAGATATTTTCCGAAGTAGATTGTCATTACATTCTGCAATAGACCAGTTGCCATCCTGGTCTGTCCTGCTATTTACCTATACTGGTGGGGGGGGGAGATTCACACCTTTCCCAAAGTTATTAGCACATAAGTGAATTTAATGGGTTCGACTGAAATTCGATCTCGGCTCTCCGATTTTTCAATCTGAGCTGCTATCCGTTACTCTCCCATCCCTCGAGTAACACACTTAAATTCATGAATTTGAGGTAAAAAAGAGCAAAGGTCATCGGAACAAATGCCACGAAAATATTTATAGAATATGACTCAATTAATTAATAAATGTTGAAGCAACACAACTCTTGACACACACACACACACACACACACACATACATATATATATATATATGTATGTATGTGTCAGTGTGCGTGTATTTATAAATATAGATAGATAGATAGATAGATAGATAGATAGATAGATATGAAGAGCTTAAGGCATTCAAATAGATAGATAGATAGATAGATAGATAGATAGATAGATAGATAGATATAAGTGTGAGGGTTAGAATCAACTTATGAAAAGAAAATATCAGAACAACTCCGTATTCTTCCACTTTCAGACGTTAACATTTTCCTACTTTTTTCTTATATCTGCAATGTCATTGTCCTTGACCTGGCATCTCGGCTTCAGTCACTTTCTCACCGCAGTAATGTAGATTCCCTGTGCCTTTTTTATAAATACTTTCATGGTAATTGTTCTGATTAACTTTCATCTATGGGATCTAGACTTTATGAATTTAATGACTTTATGAATTTAAGCAAATATTAGTTCTCATCATTTTACAGTTTAGATGGATAGATGTAACCTTAAGTTCTATGTTAGCAGTTTTCGCTCCCTCGCACTTCTCTCTTGTGGAACTCTCTTCTGGCTTTTTGCTTACCAGTCAACATCGATCTTCAAGAATTTAAATGCAACGTCAATCGTCATCATCCGTCTTTTTAATTCTTGTTTTATTCTTTTTGTTCTTTAATAATGCTTTTTTTTTTTCTTATATTCTTCCGCACTCGATAAAATTCTTGGTGGCTTTGTTGGTGTGCTTGGGGAAAATGATTGAAATATTTTTTTATTTTTTTATTTTGTCGATTGAACAGTATTGTAGGGTCAGTTGGGCACCGTCTGTAAAAAAAAAGAGCACCATGTCACATTTCACTCCGCTGGAAATTTGGAAACGGCATGCTGTACTGCTTGGCACTCGCACCGGAAGCTTCAGTACGAACATTTCAGAGTATTTGGTGTCAAACTGAGGAGAGTGCAGAGGATTAGGAAAGCGGTGGATGAGTCTCATAGTGATTACGAAGATATAGCAGCTTGGGAAACCCGCTCTGATCGTTCTGATAAGAAAAGAACTTCTAAATGTCTTGGTGAGGAACTCAAACTCCATTCGGAGGCCTACATCAAGTACCTTGAGGGGTAGTGCTGCCCTGTATTAAGAGGGTGGCTGCTGGAAAACAGGTCTCTGCCCCATGCCACACAAGCAGAACACAGTCATGGTTGCTGGTCAATTTCTGCGACCACATCACCCCTTACATCTGGCCACTTAACTTCACCCGACTGCAACCCTCTTCATTATTATGTGTGTGGCTCTGTTGAGTGTGAGACCAACAAAAGTTCTTGTAACACCAAAGATGAACTAAAGGCAAGGTTTATGGCAGCATTCACCAACTCAAACAGGGAGAACGTCCAGATGAGTTGGAGGAGATTCCGAAGTCGTCTGGTGGTCGTAGTGGAAGCCAATGTCGATTTTTTTGAATAAATTTACTCCTTAGTATTTCAAGATATTTTTGTGTCATTTTGGTAAAAATATTTCTTAAAATGAGATATCAGTGTTATTTTAATTTTTGCGTAATTAAGACGTCATTTTATCTACAGCACCCTATATAATACTAAGTCCTGTCACTAGCGAAATGTATGCAACTATTTTAGCCACTGAATATATATCTCTGTCGATTTATAGATTTAGAAAGAACATTCTTTCTAACTTCTTGTTAGATGGAACAGATTAGATTCTTTCATGCTTGAAATTCAGAGATCAATGTCGGGGTTTTTTTTTATTGAAATGTTCAAGCCGGTCTTTTATTTGAATTTTTCACAAGTGTTCTTTATTACTTCCGAACGTTTCATTATGAGTCAAAAGTCTAAAAAAAATTCTATAACCAAAATGTACAAGTTGTACAACCAATGCCATATTTTAAAACCAAGAAAATAAATAAAATAAATGATATAAATAAAATTAAATAATAAAATAATAAATAAAATCGTCAAAATGCAGGTTATTATTAGTAACCTAACTCATTAGTCTTAAACAAAACAACTTGGAACTAAATTTCCCCCTTACGACACTTCATTGAATCCACCGGTGACCTACACCCTTGTGCAAATTAATCGAAACAACCGCTTTAGTTTCCTTCTTTCACCATACTGTCAGTTTTAGACCCACTGGAGTGACAGGTTATAAACGATTCCTATTTTTTCCTCAGATTAGGTCATTTGCAGTGATGTGCAGTAATCTGTTTTCGGGGTGTATGATGAAATTAGGTTGGTCTTGAAAAATATTGCGTCATCCGTGATTACATCAGAATTTTATCACACCCAGCCACTATTGTCTCAAGTATCGATTAGTTGTCCTAAGGCTATCGTCTGCGATGGACGTTGCTCCAAAGAAGTGTAAGACAAATTTAATGCTGCACGAACACAAAGACAAGCCTTATCATTGAGCAAATCAAAGTACTATCGACTGGCTCGGAAACTCTCCGGATTTAAATCCAATCGAGATTCTGTGGTCAATCTGCAAGCAACGACCTTGTGAGATGGACATACGAAGTACTAACATGCGCACCGGATCATGTTTCATTGGAAAAATACGAAAAGAAAGTTAATAATAGCAGAGTTATTTGTTTTATGTCAATTAATTTACAGAAAGGTGTATATACATAGACCCCTGACCCTTGTTGACTTTGGCGATAATGATGTAGTGTTAACTAGGCTGTCGGTAAAGTTTTGATAGTGTTCAAAATCGTTTACCCGGTCTTATGAGAAAATGTTTATTTTCCACACTGCAGCCTCTTTCCTCACAGACGTAAAGTTGCAAGCTTTCCACTACTCTGTCGTTATTTACGTGGCATTTGTTCAGCTGAGTTACATCAGTTCAAATATTGTCAACTAAGACACGCCATGCCAATCCCATAAAGACGACTTTTTCCTCTGTGTTACAAATTTCAAGAAGAAAGTTTCACTTCGACAGGTTTTCCCCAAGAACAGCTACTTTGAGGAACAGACTCCGGCGTGAATGCTTTCTACAATCTTAACCTCTTCAAATCAAAGTTCAATCGTAATTTATCCTTCTTAAGCACTTAATCTCAACTTCCTACCGCTGTCTTTTTCATTCATATGACACAACTCATTCTTCATAAACATTTTTATACTCTGTACATTGAGTGGTTCTTGAGCCTTGTATTAAGCTCGTTTTGCAAATATATAACCCACTCTGGGAACTTACTACTTCGTACTATTTCCTGTTCATTCGCCTAACATACTAACGGAGAATTTCGTTTGGATTTTGCCTCTGGCATTTAAAAATCTTATTACAATTCACACCTTATGAAAACACACATCATGAAAAACAGCACGCATCCCGATTACCACTTATTTGTTCCGTTACCCTCCGGGTGACGTTTTAGATTGATTTGTTCCAGGACAAAGCACTTCAAGGACAGTTTTTATCCTTAGGCAAAATCAAAATTACCACGCACTGACAATGTTTGCACGTATTTTAAAGATCATTACTTTCCTTCATTCGAGGCTGTGTGTGGGTGGATTGTTGGTGCACCTTGGAACTGCTTCCCAATTTCCTTGTGCACCACACAATGACAATGTTGTTCATGATGACGGTCGTCTTTGAGTATAGAATCCAAAGGTTAGCAGTGAATATTTCGAAGACAGTAGGAAAGCGTATTTCAGGTTAGCAGTGGATACTTTGGTAAAAGTAGCAGAGCATAGTTCGTCCTTCTGTTTCTCTTCGCCTGACAAGCTGGCACTGGACATTCGGATAGAGTAAACAAAATGGTCGTCTTTATACACGACAGATTGAATATTCTACGTCTTCTGATTGGTTAACCTTCTATTGGTGGACTATAAAGTGAGTCAAGTCATTTGGGCTAACTCACTAGTACATAACATACACAAAAAACTGCAACAAAGAAATAAAAAGTAAATAATTTATCGTGGCGTCACATGCACATGCAACCATATTTGTTAGGCTGTCACATATGCATGCGCTCCTGACTGTTAGAAAGACGCCAACTGTGGAACAAGCAGATGACGACTACTATAGATCCCAACAGCTGAACCAGCGGATGAAGAGGGCTACGCATGACTGACATGCTATAGAAGGCGCCACTCGAAATTATAGTCAGCGGCAGTCCGTTGCAGTTTCATAACTGGATTCTGTATGTCTCATTCTATTTGTGCCGCAGAAGATGATCATGAAATCAAGCGTGTGGCTCACTTCCTGGCAAGCTGAGGTTCGCGTTGAATAAATTCATGCCATCGGCACTTTCTTCTTCTCTGATTTTCTTTCAACCTCAACCAACTCTTGCAAAGTTAAATGGCTATAAGGAATGGATGATGGGAGCAGGTTTTGGTGAATCTGAAAGCTTCTAGCCCTGAACCTGCCCATGGGCGGTGAATATAATCAACACCATTATCATAAAGGAAGATATCAGCAAATTCTTGGGTGCGAGAGAAAGCCGACGACATAAAAATATTTTTGCAAATAATGCTTACAATTTCTTGCTTCCACAATGATTTTATATGTATATTTGTGCTAATTCGTAGTATTCGAACTTTGCGATAACGTTGGAATATGAAGAGGTTAGTCATCACTTTGTTCCCTAGCAATAAATATGCTTATGGCGAAGGCAAATAATAACAATAATAAATATTATTTTAAAGATTTTGTTAACGGTACAATATTTAGTGATGGTGTAGAAAACGGACATAAAAAATGAAGTTAAAACCATGAGAAAAAGTTGAAAGTGACATTTAATACAGGAAAAAATTTTGGGAGTTAACCTGTTTCATTCCGAATTTATCAAAACTCGATCGGGGATAATAAAATAAATGTACGTACCAACTGAAAAAACAACAACAAAGATACACTGTATTAGTAATATACTAACACAAAAATACTTATACGAAGATCATATAACAAGATCATATAGCAAGTCCTAGCAGCCATTCCTTACTTTACACGGGGAACGCTGCCTAGACATAATGAAAAGTGTCTCAAGCATGCATCATTTACATTATTCGGATAGTTATCCTCATCTTCATTTCCATATTCATAATGTTTCGACCGCTGTACGTTCCGGCCTTCTTCAGGTGATTGGAATTTCGAATCGAACCCTTTATTTCGTTCACCGGGGGTACATTGTTCTAGTTCCATGTACCATGCCTCTTCCGGTTGTCTCGGCTATTTCCCATTAACTCAACTTTGGTTCACCACTGCTGTGG